TATACAGCACTCTTTGGAAAAACAGAGGCAGAGGAAGTTAAAATAAGAGAAGCACTAATAAAAGGCCTAATCCCAAAGAGAATAAAAGACAAACTAGCAGAACTATTAAACACGAGATCAAGACAGCAGTTTGCAAGTACAGTAGCAATAACAGCCTAGAACACATTCTATGAACAAGTATGGAGAATACATTGCGAAAAAATTATTGAATAGGAGAAAAAGATTGGAATAACAGGTAAAATTAAAAGAAAAAAAGGTGAAAAGCTGAAGGAATCAAGAAAACAAAAAATGTCAAATCAGTAAAAAAGTAAAGAAAAAAAGAAGAAATAAGAGAAAAAGAAGAGCAAGTTGAGAAGGAAGTAATGAAGACAATTTTGGGGCTTGTCATGGAAGGGAGAAGGCCCTTCCATTATGGACTTTAAGTAGTCAGATGAGTAGCTTACTTCTGTTTAAAGTAATGTGACAGGTTGCACTTAGGTACCATTAAGGTGGCTGGGTGATGCTAGACTTAGATATTAGAGATATTTATATAGTTGCAAATGTAATTCCAAAAACCTAATAAAGTACTAGTGTAACTGCTTATAAAAATAAAAAAAAATAAAAATAAAAAAATAAAAAATAGTGGAATGTAGCAATTAAATACATAACCTCTTGATTGCAAATATTAAGTAACTATAATGTATTATATAAAACTAAGTCAGTTGTGTATAGAACACAAAAAACTCTAATAATGATATTTTAAGAATACATTGTATAAAATAAGATATGAAGTTCTAAAAATATAGATAAGCATCTAGATCTTTTTGACTAATATATATATTAAAAATAATCTAATAATATAGTAAGAGTTATAATATTATACAGAAACTTTAAATTTTGCTAAATATATTTATAATATATTTTTTTTTTTAACCTTAAGTAGTTACACTAGTATTTTATTAAGATATTTGAAATTATATATATTATATAGTTATTGAATGTGAAGCATCCAATAACTGGAGTTATTTGGCAGGTAATATGATTATATCGTGATCTGTATGATCATGATATTATTGTTACATATGATGAATAATGGAAAGTATCTGAGCCAGAATTTGATCAGGAGATGACTGGGCCCCGCAGGGGCCCAGTCATCGACCAGTCAAATTCTGGCTCAGATATGACAGTTATTGATGCGTAGCAGCCAATAACGATATTATCCATCAGTTTATGACGATTGAGCATCACATGAACATAAGTTAAAGCAAAAGTTTTAATTACTAAGATAAGTTTAATAATTAATGACATAATTATCTTTGTATATAAATATTTAGCTAATTTAAAATCGATTAGGTCGTTTTTTGTTAACATATAAAAAAAAATATCAAAAACAAACACACTAAAAAAATGATATTACAAACCTACTAGTAGTGAAATCGATGAAATTATTAAAAGCACAATTCCTAAGAATATCCATAAAGTAACATCTAAATAGGTTAAGATTTTAGAAAACTGATGCTGTGATATAGGATATGATTATGGAATTGAAACTATTACTAATAAAAACCAGCTTGAATGTGAAATGACTGAATTCATTTTAGGAATTCGACAAATTAATACCAACAAGAAATATGCACTATTATCATTGATTAATTGCATAAAGTTGCTTAGTGTATATATTTTAAAACATCCTAGAGGCAATAAGATTTTTAATTTATCAAATAGAAAAGAATTTTCTCATTTATAGAAGGTGCTTAATGTGAAAATAAAGAAGCTTAAAAAGGATGGAATTGTATCACATCATCATGATCATCTTACAGAAACAGAATTGAGAACTATATTTCAGCATAATTTAGTTTCAAGTAATACACCACAAGGCTTGCAATACTGGGTTTTTATATAGTGTTGCTTGCTATTTCAACCCCGTGGTGGTAAACACTACAATTTATCAATTTCACAATTTGTATTTACTTCTAATGATAATATTCATTTTATAAAATACAAAACACTGTTATTAACTGGATCCAACAAGCATCTCAACTCTTAAAAAAATGATCAAGGTGGAGTAGATAGAAATTTAAATGCACTTGTTATATCTGTCCTACCTGATTCTGAAGATTCACAAGGCCTCATATATGATATCAAGCTATATTTTTCGAAAAGACTTGCAAATTCTCAATATACTTTTATTTTTTAAAAATTAATAAAAAAGCAAAAAGTAAATATATTTATTATTGCTATATATAATTATGTAAATTAATTAATACTTATCATTATTATTATAGATTATTTAAAGAATTCATGGTATCTTGATGAAAGGCTAGATGATAAAACGTGTAGATCATTTATAAAAACAATATGCATCACAGTTGGAATTAATATAGGTAATTGTGATATTGTTAACCATTCAGACCAGTCAACTCTTATCACTTTTCTTTTTCAGAAGGAAGTTCCTATAGGTACTATCATGTTCATTATTGGACATAAAAGTGAATCATCTTACTGAATTTATGCACAACCTTCTGATAAGCAACGTGAAGATACATTATCATTACTAATTGATAGTGTTGAAACTTTACCTTCTAATTCTCAAGAAGAATCAATTAATATGAATGTTAGCTTTTCTCAAGTATCTGTATATATTGAAATTAATTTGTAAAGTTATAGATTATTAAATCATATATTTTTATAGGATAACAGTTTGCAAAGTGAAGTTGAAATTGAAATGGATACTATTTTTACTAAGATACATGCTTAATTTATTATAATACAATTTTTTTTAATTAATAGTAATTTTATTTAATATTTTTATTCTAGTGCAAAAATTTTTTTGAACCTGTGTCTCTAATCAGTCCCATCTTGATAAAACCATTTTGTCAACCATTGCAAACAAGTTCAAAAACAAACTATCCAATACATATTAATGCTTTAAAATGAAATCCTGCAATTAGTAGATGACAAATTTTTCATAAAAACTCTTATGAAAATAGCAATAGTACTTCTTATGAGGATAGTGCTTTGGGCACTACTATCATAAAAAATTACTATATTAACATACAAACTGTCAATATTAGTTAAATAAATTAATGCTATGTTTGCTGTTATTTAATGTTTCATATTAGTACATATACAAATGTTATTTCTTTACACAATAAAATAAAAAATTTCTATGCTATTAATATTATTATTTCATACAATTAAGAATTTTAAGGCTGAAGGCCGATTTGTTACATATTGTATAATAAACTGAACTCCGATTGCCAAATAACCAAAATAAACTTTTTTTTGCCAGAATAACAAGTTATTTTGGCAGCTCAATTATAGTAAACTGACAGATAATTATAATTATATAGAATTTTCTAATACTCAAGTCTAGCATCACTTGGTTACCCTATTGGCATCTAAATGCAACCTACTGCACTATCTTAGTTAGAGATAAACTGCTTGTCTAACTACTTAAGCCATATTAGAAAGGTCTTCTTTTTTCTGTGACAAGCATATAAATTGTCTTTCAAGCTTTTTTCTTCATTTAGTTTATTTTTTCTACTTTCTTTTCCTTTTCTTCTTCTTTTGCCATCTTATTCTTCTTTGTTCTTTTCTCTAGTCTTCTTTTAGTTCAAGCATCTTTTTTTATTTTGTTTGTTATATTAAACTTTTTTTTTCATTCTTGTACTTTTTCATACTAGACTCTTCATACTTAATTATAAAATGTATTTTACACTGTTCTTGTCACTATGTTTATACATTTTTGTATTGCCTGTTTATCTAGAATCTAACTAATCTTTTTTTAACCTTATTTGTTATTAGCTCTTTTATTAAAACTGTTCTATTAATAATTTCTTTTGCTTCTGTTTTTCTAAATAATGCTTCATATAGCACTAGAGATGGAATTTTAACTTTTTCATTTTCTTCAAGGTCATTTCATGCTACTGCTGTTGCTATCTTTTGGATCCTCTTTCACAAACTTCTTTATCCAATACAACTTGCTAGATGTGCTTGAGTTTCCTTTTCACCTTTTTGACATACTTGGCAGTCAGTTATTATATATATTTCTGATTTTCTTTTATTTAATTTTTCTAATGTTAATAGACTATTTATTATGCATTTAATTGCTGTTGCTCTTCTTGTACTAAGTTTTCTTATTGTGCAATATACATTTTTTGTTCTATTTATCTCTTTCTAAAAGCTTGACCAATTATATCAAGTGTTCTCAGTTTTTGGCTCTAATGCTTGAATTGGATTTGTTTCTCTTTAACTAGCTCTAATTCTGGCATTTGTAACTATTTTGCAAAGAAGTTTTGTTAGTATATCAACTTTTCTGTTTTCTTATTCTAAATAGTACTTTATTTTGTCACAGTTGATCTTTTTTGTAAATATTGTCCTTCTACACATTGCTTCTTTTTTTGCAAATAAATCTGCTCTATCATTCTACTTATTATTACTATGACTTTTAATTTTAACTAGTTCTATTCTATTGTTTTTGCTTTTAAGTAAACCTACAATATTCATTATTCACATTGCATTTTTCTTTTTTAAGATTTTGTCATCTTCTAATATCCTTATATATTATGTATACATATTAACAAATAAAGTAGTTTGCATAAGATGGATATAGATGTTTTAGCTGTTAGTACTTAAGAAGCAGATTGAATATAATTATTAAAATGAAAGCTAGAGAATATGGCTGTAAGATTAGAATTAAAAATAAATAATAAATTAGTAAAGAAAGTGCTAAGAATAAGTTATTAAGAAATAGTTGATTAAATAAAGATAGGTAAATATAGAATGAAGTTCTGTTTAATATTGTTAATAAAGATAAATGCTTGTATAGTTCATATTAGAAAGGTTAAATGAAATAATGTTTATGCAAAATAGAATCTGAAGGTTAGTATATATATAGTTTAGTTTTGTTTTAGTTTATAGATATTTTAAAACTATATATATATATTTTTTTTTTTTAAGCCGATGTTATTGGTAGCTACCACCTTTATTGTGTTTTTAGTCAATGTATTACATATGACTTGTACAAGGTAAGTGTGCAACTAGCCACATGTATAACTTTTGGTTACCTATTTAAGTAGTCCGCCTAAGGGTTCTACACTAGCTGCCATGCCTGTAACTTACTAGGAGGGTACCTATTTAAACACTCTAATCCTTATACTACACCTAGGCGAGTAACATCTGGTTTTCGTACAACTAAGTGCTGTCTAACCCAACATTTAGCTTCTTCTTTTGTACATTTGTCAAGCTGTTAAATATTTCAGAATACGTTACCTGACTGTAAGGTTCTGGGGTACCTCCTTGTTAACTACCTACCTATTCTACAGAACATTAACAAGGCTAGCCCTTGTAGAGTTTACCCAAACCCCAGCACCTACTTCACAGCATATTCCTAGTACTTATAGTATACCCTTGCTTTGACTCCAGACTCCCAATTCAAATAGCCTGATAAGACTGTGACCTGTTCTTGGTATATCGAGCCAGCCTGATATTCTTTTCCTCCGGTTCAGTTCCAGTGACCTGGTTGGTGGTACCTCTCACCTGAGGTTCTTGCCCGTCCAGCTCCTTCACATTGGTATCCATTTTCTAGGTCTAGCCTTTACAGTAGTACCGTCAAAGATCTGTGTTATCTCACTACTTAGATCTTTCCAAGTAAGCTCTGGTTTCCAGTTCTATGGATTGCACAATCATAAAGACTTATTTTAGGTTTGCACTGCCTGGTACCGGTTTGCATTCCTCTGTGTAACCAAGGTTACACAGATGCTCCGTGACCTGCCAGTCATGCTGGTATGACCATAGTTACAGGTATCCTATCCTAACTGATCGACAGAATGTCGTTACCATAATACCATCTATGTATTACATAGGTGATTATTCAAATTTTCACTATCGGTGAGTTTTGAACTCACAATCTACCACTTGGAGGGTTGACAACTTATCCACTTCACTAAGTCACCACACCTCTTTAAAAACTATATTTAAAAGAATGTTTTAAAGATAAAATAGAAAATTTCTAAATATTATATAGTAATATATAGTAGATAAGTTATATAATAGTAGGAATTTGTTATAGTATATGTTTGTTCTTGCAGAAAATAAAGTGTTAAAAACAGGAACTTGGGATCTTAAGTTGTTTTCTACAGAGTTGTTCACTATTTGAAGCTTAGCTTGCATAGCTATAGAGGTTGGCATAGTCTGTTCTGTATATTAAATCTAACTGTCATTAACTTGGTTCTTTATATAAATAGGCTTGACCATCTGTTTACTTATATCATTTTTTTTTTTTTTTTTTTTTAAATATTAAGGTGAGTACTTGTGACCTAGAATTTTATTGATAGTATATTCAGCTAATGGTTGCATTACAACTACAGAAGGCAATCATGGAAAGAATGTACAACTAGCCACTCGTACAACTTTAGTCATTGTCTAATTTAAGTAGTCTGCCTGAAGGTTTTATACTAGCTGCCATACCAGGAACCTGCTTGTAGATTTCCTATTTAACCACTCTGTTCCTGTATCCACCCACTTACCTACACCTACCAAGATGCCCTGGTCGATACCAGTTTAAATATGCCATGGTCACTAAGTCTTTAAAGCAGTTCACTCACATGGAGAACCTTTGACCTTGTACTAAACCTTCCAGAATCTTCTGTATTCCATTCTTATAGCTGACCTAGTATCACTATGGCTGAGACCAACACTGGCGGTCAGAGCATATCATTAAACCGCTATGCCCTTGTAGAGTTCACTCCAACCCTGGTACTGACTTCACAACATATCTCTACTACTTTGATATTCAATTCAAGTTCCACTAAGCTCTCAAACCAGATAGTCCAGAAAGGCAGGTCATAATCATGCACCTTTGGTTTACATGTTTGCCAGCATGTAACCTTTTACTTCAGAACTCAGAAATTCTGGTGGCCTGGTTGGTTCCATTCAGCCCCTCCTTAAAGGCTGGCTCTTTGCCTGTTTTACAAGTTTTAGCTCCGTTTCATAGATCTAGTCTTTACAATAGCATCGTCAAAAGTTCAGGTTACTTCTCTACTTAGGTCTTCCAAGTGGGCTTCCATCCTCCTACCTGGTTCCTATGATTTACACAGCCTAAGGACTTATCTTGGGTTCACACTGCCCAGTACTAGTTTGTGTTCCTTTGTACAACATTGCACGAATGCCTAGACCTTCTAGTCAGGCTGGTATGATATAGGTTACAGGTATCCTATCCCAACCAATCACGGAAGACAGTTAGCCATAATACAGAAAGAATTGCAAATTTTTGCCATCACTGGAATTTGAACTCTAGACCTGCCACTTGGGAGTTAACAACCTATCCACTTCACTAGATCACCACACCCCTACATTATAAAATAGTTAGTGTAAACACAAGATAAAACTATATAAAAGTTAGTATAAATATATAGAATAGGAATTGCATAGTTTACTTAATGTTATACTACACAAACAATAAACAAAATACACACAAACTGATTATCTTCTACAAATATATAATGTAGCTACTACCTTACTAAAAGATATAACTAATTGTAGTTAGTAAGAAGAATGATATATGAAAGTAAATAGTCAAGCCTCTATATATAAAAGACCAGAATTATAATAGTCTAATCTAATATACAAAGCAGACTATAATATCTTGTATAGCTGTAAGAGCTAAGTATATAGTAATCGACTTTGTAGAAGATAAACTTGGAAGATTATTTTCAACATTCTTAATTTTCTATAATCTTGATACATGTTTTAATA